AACATAACATCTGTGTAGATGAATCGTTCCACTCAGTCCATGACCTAAAAGGGTTTGGATCCACTTCAGAATACTCACTAAGTAAACCATGACTCAATCACGTTTTTCCGAACTCTCATCCGTTGGATGTGTAACTGTGAAAAGCCTTCAGGTTGTTTGCTTAACCTCCTGACTGGTTTGATAATTCACTGTAATATTGCGTAATCCCGACTGCGTAATCCTGAGTGTACCTCGGGCTGACTCACTCCTCAAACAGAGAGACCGATTATCTTCAGATCAATCTGAAACCTGCGCTGATATAAACAGGAAGCTGAGGAGCCGTGAAACAGTCAAACAGTCTGAGAGGTTTGGCAGCGGAACATATGGCTCAGTTGAAACGCTGATTCGATGTGCCTGTTAAAACTGAACACGGTGGAGAAATGAGAATGTCAGCTGTTGGGTTCAGTTTGAAGTGTTTTACACCGACAAGGATAATTCAGATCTCAGAGGAGAGTTCAGTTACACTGTTTTCTCTATGACCTCTTCATGAGAAAAAGTTCAAATCTAAGTCCACCTTTCTTTTAATCAAATGTGAGGTTACGTACAGACTCTAAAGACTTAAGTTTGTAAAGTTTCACCAACAAAACCCATCATTTGATTTGAAATTGCTATTTTTTCTCAGACTGTGGTCGGTTTTTCTCAGAAGAAAGATTTTAAACAATCCTCCTCATAAAAAATAAGGTCAAATTTTGATTAACTTTTGCCGAGCTGGTACATTATCTCGCTCTTAAACTGCAGAGACCCGCTGCTACTGTGGGACACTAACAGCAGATCCTGAACTCCTGACCTCATCTGGTCTGCAGAAATACAGGCAAGGAAACTTAAAACCTGCACGTCCTCCAGAGACACGCAGAGAGAGGTGTGATCTCATTCTGTCAGTGCATTATTGATGAAGACTAAATGCATGTACAGAGTTTAAGAGTGGGGGTGATTCACAGTCACTCATGTAATGAGAGGAACAGCTTTATAGTCGGGCTGCAGTACACAATAATTTCCTTTTAGGATTATGAAAATCTCATTTGAAAAAATCCATAAAACCACAGATTTCCTGAGTCCACACCAGTAAATATTTGGCCTCTGGATATGTTTGATTTTTTTAAATCATGTAATTGCTCAACAACATTTGAGGTCACATCCACACAAAATAAGATCCTCTTCACACCAGCAGGTCATACGCCTGAATGTAACAGTCATGGCCGGCTCAAGGCCAGAGACAAAGCTGAGAGGATAGGCGGAGCTAATGTCTGAGTTCAATGTTTATTTACAAAATAAAATGTTATGTAGTGTGGACATCAGTAGATCAGTTGTGTGTTGTATGCATGCGTGAGTGAGGGTGATGATACAAAGTTGGTCGTGAAAGAAAATGCCAAAAAGGAGCTTGCCAAATTAACCCAGGATTTCCATCGCATCGGGAACAGCTCCGATCTGGAACGGCAGCGATTTTCGCCGCAAGCCAATTCCTACCGGGTCTGTTTGTGAGGTGAATTTCATGGCGGATTACGGACAGCAGGAATTGCAAGAACTTACAAGAACCCGTGGATTCAGGTTGTCTTTAGCCACATAGGCTAACCATATAAGCAGTAGATTGTGTCCTTCCAGAAGAGGAAATCTACTTCTGGACTTATAAAATCAGCATCTCCTCATCCATGGTGTCGTCAGGATGAAATGCTGTCTGAAAACCTTTCACTTGTTTGTCCCCGCCCCTCTGCATGGTGTGAAACACGATCTGCCTGAAACATGGAGTGTTTTATTTTGAAAAGAAGCCGGATGTTTTATTTTGTGTCTGGTCCAACTTTCTTTCCAGCACAAGTTAATGTGCTGAATTTATCAGCAGTGACTGGTCTTGTTCTGGCTTGGCACACTCAGCGTCGGTTTGGGTTGAAGAGCTGGTTGTAGCTAAGTCTGATTCCATTTATGAGGTCTCTTTCTGCTGTTTTATCCACAAAACTGCTAACACTGTCATCTGGACTTCACCAGATTTAGACTACATGTAGTTTAAAGATGAGGCTGTGGTATCATGACGTGAGGACAGCCCTGTGATGGTGCTTTGGCCCGCTTTACAGATCTGTAGAGTGAACACAAAATAAAGAGAAAAATACAAACGATACATTTTTTTTTTAGCAAATGCCAAAGCAAACAAACCATGGATGTGACAACAGCCACACTTTGAAAAAAAAATAATAAAAAGACCCAGAATTTAAATCTGATGACTTTATTTGAGGACAGTGGGGTCAGGTCAGGTAACACAGTATACTGTAAGTCTGAAGATTTTAACATGATGAGATTGTAATTTTAATGTCTCACAAGGCTGAGATGTTGCATATTTCAAGAGCTAACAGTGAAAAAACACACAGAGTTAAGACTGTGACCCAGCTCTCTCTCGACTATTATCATGTTTGATATTCGTTAGAACAATCAGCTCAAGTCTGATTTTCCTTTTTAAATTGAAACATTTTAGGCAGTAACACCCAAAATTAATCCAAACCCTCAATAATTCGGTCAGATTTTCATTTCCCTCTCGTCTTTTTCTCTCTGTCTGGTTTTGTTAACCTGAATAATGATGAATGTAAGATCTCACTTTAATATTTCAGCGGTCTCTGGGTGGGTTTTGGAGGACAGGATCTTGCTGCGGGGTCAGAAATGGTTCAAAATATGCCTCCTGTTGTTTCACAGCGGGTGGTCCACATTCACAGCCCCACAACCCCTTAAATTATAAAAGGAGCTGCTCTCCATGAATCATTGAGAAATTTCCATCAGGATCCCCTTTGAGCCGTGAACGTTCCCCGTCAGACCCTCATTACCTCCTGACTGTGAGCGCAGATTAAAACCGAGGAGGACTGAACATGTGAAACCGAAGCGGCCCGTCGTGTTTGGAAACTCCTCGCTGATTAAGTGACGTTAAATCCCAAATCCTCCTCTTCCTGTTCCTGCCTTCTGCTGCTTTAATCCGGCTCTGATCAGATTACTGAAACTGATCTTTTTGACTCACTCTCTCCCAGATTAAAATTTCATATTCACATTATTCTAAACAACATGTGCTCACCGCTCAGCCTGTGTGCAATCATTTAACCGACACGTGGGGGATGAAATGCTTCGTCAGTGAGTCCCTCTCTACAGTTATTGTGTCAGTGGTTTAATCCCTGATGGCTTTCTCTGAAAATAATGAAAACAATCTGACAGCCCAGAGAGATTACGGAGAGACCAAAACCTGATATCACCCTTTAGCTGGCTGCTGTTCCACCGACTCCTGTATGGTACAGTATGAAGACCATAAGTGTCCATGTCACGGGTATCTTATACATTTATGAAGGCTCCATTGATGCTGAACAATATCTACCTTCATATTTCAGCAAGACAATGACAAACCACATTCTGCAGGGATTACAACAGCATGGCTCTGTAGCAGAGGAGTCCTGCCTGCAGTCCTGACTTGTCACCACTGAAAATATTTTGGGGCATCATGACAAAAAAAACTTGGACAAAGGAGACCTGAACTGTTGAGCAGCTAAATTCATCTATCATGGAAGAATGAGACAATGTTTACTTTCCAAACTCCAGAAACTGGTCTCCTGGGTTCATCATCTTTTTTCTGAAACTAACTGTCTCCACACACCAAGCGCGAGTAACATCATTCGCGCGAATGAATTACATGTTAAGTCAATGCAAAGACGCGAATGGCGCGAATGACGCGAATTGGGTGTTAGCTGAAAATGTTAAACGGATATTCACATTGTGATAACTAATCAGCACAAGGTGGTCGTGTGGATGCTGCGAATTATATGATACCTTTTCTTTCAATTACTGAAACCGGAATGAAAAGGAGCTCGCCTGGAGGCAAGTGAGTGAGGAGGTCTGATTACCTGGTAAATTCAAAAAAACCTTGGTCTGTCACTTGATCCCGCCGGTTGAATTGGCAGGGATTACCAGTGAAATTACTGTTGACAGGTGTAAATACTATTCATTCACGCATCTAGATTCGCGCGAATTAAGAGAGTAGATTATTTTACTCGCGCTTGTTGTGAACACCCCATCAGACCATTCTGCACCACCGTCCTTTACTCTTCTTAAATTCATCCAAATACCACTGTTTTCTTTGAATGGGTTTTTGACAGAGCATGACAGAGAAGCTATTGCTAGCTCACTCACGAGGTATCTCAGAAGGCTTTATGCAGGGGAGCAAACAGTTTCAGCGAATAATAAATGGAAGTGAATTACTAGCCAAGCTTCTTTCAGTGGGTCCACACTGTCAGAAATGAGGGCTTCAACCTCCGACATTTGAACATTGTGGTTTTCCTCTTTACTTTAACTAATCGGCATCATGATGTTATTATTTCAGCAAACTGAATGACAGGAAAATCACAAGAACATCAGTTTCTGATTCTGGTTCATACTGCCAAAGTAAACCAGAGTCTGACCTTTTATCTACAATAAAACTGAGACTCACCACACTGATGAATCTGTTTTGGTGTCTACTTATTGATTATTCTGCATACCTAGCTGGAGTAATTCCACCTTACATTACCAATACATTATCAATCAAATTTTATATATAGCGCCAAGTCACAACAGTCGTCATCCCATGGCGCTTTAACAAAAAAAGGGCAGTTCTAGACCACACTCATTGTTTGATGGACTACCGAGACCCAACCTTAAGATGGGACAGATTTGACCCATCTCATCTAACATTAGTGACAGTAGTGGCATTACTACTTCAGAAGTTGTTCATTTAGACTTTGACCAATGCAGCTCACTGTTTCGATGGAAAGAAAGTGAGTATGAGGAGTTTTAGAAACTGGGTTAAAGTAGTGAACTTACAGTACTCAGGATGAACTTTGGATCCTCGTGCAGCCTCGTTTTTAACATCTTTACCGAACAGAAATGTTCATTCAAACGTTAAAGTAACATCAGAAATAGTTCCAGGTCCATTTCCCGGGTCCGCCGCTCTCAGCTGTAAAAGAATAATGCACGCTCTGTCGGAGGTGGAGTGGACACCAGCAGCAGCCATCAGGTAAATGGAGGAGCAGCTCCAACACTCTCTAACCTCCATGTGATGACAGTCTGAGAGTAAAAAGCCTTTATTAAAGCACTCCAGTACTGACCTGAATGTGCAGATTCTGTGTGAGCTAAATATAACCTGAAGTGATGGAGGAGATGGATGGTAATAAAAAAGCTAAGAGGCTCTGAAATAGAGACGACCCTTCAATGTCAGGATGAGCCCTATTTATACTTTCTGACTCTTTTTTACCATGAAATACCTGTACCTTTTAAAATGACACGTTTTAGGAGACCGGACAGGATCAGTAAACACGACTGTTTTGTTTGAGATAGTCAATGGTGGAGATGTGCAAGAATCAGAGGGTCTCTGCTTGCTCACCTTCACAAAACAAAGGAAACATCCTGCAAGAGACAATCAGTGCGTTTACATGCTCAGCTTAGTCGGACTAAGCTCGTCATTCGTTTTTTTTCACCGAATCGGACTTCTCTCCTTGTCCGCGTATACATGCAGCTGAGAAAACTGAATTATTGACGTGAACATGTCCTCCCCAAAACTAGGGGGCGATATTCAACAGCGCTGTTTCCGGTTGACCCCATACAACTGTTGACAACAACAGCAGGTCTGTGCCAGACGTCAGAAGTGGCTACACTTAGTTCTGGCAGTTAGTTAGTTCTTGCAGGTCACGATGTCAAGCGCTGATCTGCAGCCAATGGCAAGTAACCACCTCAACCAGCTGATGGCCCAGCTGATTTCCTCCTAGCTCCTATTGGTCCTATGCCTTTAGAGTGCCCTATTAAAAACAGCCCTAACCCAGCCTCTTCCCCTGCTTCGATAGCCACCCTTGTGCCGGCTAAACTGCTCCCCTACCCTTGAAGCGCCCCTGTTCTGGGGCGCTTCTGTTCTCTTCAGTTCTGAACAGAGCAGAAGAAGCTTCTTGGATAAGAGGCGAAATGTCCTCTTAACTCTACACAGTCCAGTTGCCTGATTTTGGAGTCTTTGAGATAACCATGACCCGGATGAATGAGAATCTACATGGACAAATTCCAATCGCATTATCTGGGTGTCTTAATCGGAGTTCTCAAACTCCTATTACAGTTGGACTAAGGTGTTTACATGCAATTCACTTGTCCGGTCTTAATCGGAGTAAGGCAATAATTCGGTTTTCTCGCGTGTCATGTAAACTTACTGAATGATGTGACTTCAGCCGTCACTGCAGGAGTACTGCATGCCTGAGGAGACTCCCAGTTTAACAGGTTTATTATTAACAGCAGAGCAAGAGCTCAGTGCTTGTAATCATCAGACGTAGTAGTTTGGAAGCTGTTAGCCCTGAAAACATTTGTTACATCCATTTATAGAGTGTCAAAGTAAATAACAATCAAGGCGACGTCTGGGACGAATCACAGAGTGCCTGTACGTTAATATGATGACATTTCTGCTTTTTGATAATGGAGAGTTTGCTGTTGATGTTGTAGTTTGAGCAGTTTGTAAAAAGTCCTTTTTAAATGTTTGTTTTTTAAATCATCTAATCTTCAAGTGTCCAAACCAGCTACAGTTTTGGTTTTCGCTCAATCTTTCATTCAAGAAAAACTCCTTTTCCTGCAGATTAACTCTGCGCAGACTTCACTTGAGTGTGTTTGCAGAAGCTGCTCGTCTCCCCTGATTTATAAAGAGATCAAACTGGGCCTGTGTTTCCAGGTCAACCTCTATTTGGAACATCTCAGCTGTGCTCCCCGAGGGACGGGAGATTTCTACCAGAGAGAGCGGTTTGGAGTGAAATGTGGGGCAGCTAACATTACAGCAGACCTGCTGAACAAACGCACCGCTCAGTCTCCTCATTCAGGCTTTATGCGAGGAGGGACAGGTGGAGAAGGGACAGGTGGAGCCGCTTTGTCTCCGGAGAGAATAAAGAGGCTGAGACATTCATCAGAGGACAGTAGAGACAGAAAAACTCAATGTGAGCAGCTACAGGTGGAGGACGGAGGAATTTAACACAGTAGAAACAGAGAGAGAGAGGCGGAGAGGAGGAGGAGGGTCGGCCAATGGTAGAGGTCCCTGTAGGTCTGACTTGGAGGGTGGGTGAGTGTTGCAAGTGGGGGTGAGGTTGAAGGGGGAGGATAAAGACACAAAGGGTCTGTTGTCCGTTCCCACTAGAGTGAAGGTTTCCCAGGAAAACATGACCATTCAGACCAGATAAGAGACCCCCCCTCTCTTTGTGTTTGAGCTGTGGAGGGGTCAGGAGAGCTCAGGAGGAGAAGGAGGAGGAGGTGTTTCCATCTGGATGTAAAGCCACTGCTTGAATGAAAGGCTGCTCCCTGTTACAGCTGACAGACCTGTGAGAAACACTTCATATTACAGGAATATTAACTCACAGTATGCATACATGCACATTTATTATTGAGGGGCTCAGAGGCTGGGAGAGCGCCCCTCCCCCCCTTCACTACACAAAGAGACAAAGACATGAGAAACAAAGATGCTCTGTGAAAACAAAGAGAGAAAGTAGGTTTAGAGATCGGCGCAGTCAGCTCAGACTCTGTACAAAAAACACATTTAATGTTGTTAAATTACTTTTATACACAGAGTTAAAGGGATATTCCGGCGTAAAATTAAGTTAGGGTCAAACACACCTTAGAGATGAATGTTACCGACTGCTTGTTTCTCTTGTTATACCAACTTCAGTAACGACAGATAGCAATACACCATCATTTCTTCATGGAAATGCAATCAGACTGAGACACTAAGGCAGAAGAACTACCGCGTCTGCAGTGCAAAATGATTAATATGGTGATTATTACTTCAAGGAAATGATCATTAATGTTCTTTCTTGAGCTGCGACACCCCACTGTGTTAATGGACTCACCTGAGATCTCCGTACAAACAAACGGCTTCTGGAAGAGAGATGGTGAGTTATGTTTAGTCTCTTTGCTAAAGAAATCAGGTGAAGTTAAAGAGATGTTTGATGGCTAGTACTATGGCTGGGACCCTATATGTACTGTTGATGAAGTTAGGTGCTGTTCTGAGCATTATTTGAGGCTATAGAGTGGCGTTTTGGTTGAATGCGTGGCTCTCTGTACTGCTATCTGCGGTCGTTACTAAAGTTGATATAACTAGAGAAGCAAGCAGTCAGCAACATTCATCGCGTTACGGTGTTTTTGACCCTAACTTAATTTTACGCTGGTATATCTGATGAGTCAAGTGACAACCTGATGAAGAGCAAGAAGTGACAATTTTCTATCTATAAAACAGTCAAAACACACAGGATATGGTAACATCCAAAGCAATTTGAACCATCATCATTTAAGAGTCAGAAAAAATCATTTACACGAATCTATGAGGGACGATCATGGTCATCTTTATTTTTAGCAAGTTTCACTTTGACTGAGCGCAGTCCTTTTTGCTCAAGGTGACAAAAACGGTGCATTCAAGAGTTGTGTAAGTGATCTGCATTTACAGGACGTGAAACAAAAGAAATTTTAGACCTTTCTGTTTCTTTTTCAAAGACGTATCATCTGCAGAAATTCCCGGACAGTCTCTGAAAACATGCTAATCATCTCTGTGAAATAGAGAAGCTCCTAAATGTTTCCGAAACACTTAACATTTATCACTCAAGAACAATGGTATGATGAGTATGCAGGGACTAAAAATACAAACATGAGGTAGCCAGTCTGTCTTTGGGGTGTGCTGAAATCTTTTTATCAACTGTCACTTTATTCAGTTAAAAAAAACAGCCTATACATCCACTTCAGTGACCTAGAATAGCTGTTAAGTCCTGCTTTGTCATGTGTTTTAGCTCATGTGTGATCTGTTTAAAAATGCTTACACTAAACTTCTCCATTTTTGACATCATTTCTCAATAACCCCTCATTTTTTCTTTCTGGTCTCAGTTTTTTTTTCTGAGGTTCAGCGTGACGCTGAAGGAAGAAAACGCTTGCAACATGTGGGAAGTGGAAAGTGATGATGCAGAGGTAAACCATGTGAGGCTGCAGCCACGTCACTGAAACAGTGCGCACACATGTGTTTAACTTTGATCACACAAACACACACACGCACACCCATGTCCTGACTCGTCTCTGAGCTAAAAAAACACACACTCATAAACCGAGCTCTGCTGTTAGTGATTACACAGCGCAGATGTTAGTTCAGAGCAGAGCTGGAAGAAGTGTTCAGATCATTTAAAATGTAAAAAAGACAAAAACAAACCAATCTTTTTTTAAGAATTAAGCTAAAAACATGGTCACCTTATATTTCTGTTAACTTCAACTTATTTTTCATGTCTTAATTTGAAGTAAGAAAAAAACTAATGACCAACATGTAAAGTTAGGGTTAGCAAGTCAAGATCATAATCTGCATCTTGACTGGCTACGCCCAAAACCTTACAAATATCAACCGTCCCTTTTAAGAGTCCTTGTTTAGACAACAAACCAGGTTTCGAATTCAGTTCCTCTGCAGAGGATCCTGCAGCCTCTCAGTTTGTGACCTCATTATCTATGCAGTGATCTGAGTATGATACTGAGGCTCTGTTCCGATTGGCTGCCTTATAATAGTCTGAGAGGAAATGGTACAGGCAGATGCAGAGGTGGAAGATTCAATTTGTTGTTGACCCAGGAACATGATCACAAAGTGGCAACACTGATTGGCTGTTACTGAAGACCTTTTATTATAATGGCCAGTGTCAAAGCACCATATTTTTTGGGGGATAAGGCACACCAGATTATACTGCACACTGTGAAATAACGTGTCTATGGTAACACATAAGGCGCACTGGATTGTAAGGCGCATTAAGCATTGATTGGTTGATTGTTGCTAGCGCGTACTTTGGGCCCGGGGCTGCCTAACATGAATACACTTCTAGTTTAGACATTACGGTCAGGCAGTCTTGTAGACTGCTAAGGGGTCCTGTTTTGGTAAGCTTCGTTGCTTACCAAAGTCGTACTTACACATTTCGACAGATTTTTGAGTTCATTGTACCACATAAAATCGGTCAGTAAGCACAACAAGTAATCATACATAAGGCTCGCTGGATTATGTGAAAATGTAAGGATTTTAAGTGCGTCTTATAGTCCCAAAAATATGGTAGACCCAGCTCTGTTAACCCTCACCCACGGTATGAGGGCAGAATACAGACATCTGTGTTTCTACAAGCAGCAACAGAGCAGCAGGCATGTCTGACTCTAACCTTTGACATCTTTTATTTGTGCTTGACTAACAGCACTCAGTTACTTTCTGTTTAAAACTTCTAAAGAAAACTTTTTTTACACCCACAGCATTAAGAAGAACGGTATAATGTTGAGCTGATGCAATAAATACAGACCCCTCTGACAGAGGAAAGAGATCAGGTTCAGGATTTCCTGAAAGTTCACTCTCAGTCAGTGTTTGGGGGAAGCAAGGTGTGTTATTGAGAAATTCTCCTGCAGCCCACACGCTCTGTCATCACTTCCAGCTTCACGTCTGCAGGAGGAACTTACCGGAACAACAAACCACACACTGAGTGTAAAACTTTAGACCAGCGTTCCCCGACAGTCCCAGCACAACTGCTGCAGGGAACGCACAAAAACACCCTGATTTAGCATTTCCAAAGAAGCTTTTACATCAGTTATGAGCTCAATATGTTGTCTTTCCTAGTTGTAAAGGGAAAGTTTAGCTTCATTTAGAGTAAGACGTAAACATTTCTCCATACTCGTTCAAAGGTTGTAGACATTTGGTTTTATTGTGAGAGCGAAACAAAAGTTATAGAGGGATTAAAAAACTCAAATGTAAAAGACATGAGTAAGAAGTATTTTGAGACATGGCTCAAGTTTTCTTGGTCCGAACAGGTTTTATTTCCGGTCTGTATGAATCCATCCTGATCTGAGTGGTCTGAATAAAGTATTATATGTCTCAGGTGTTTCATCATGTCTCCATTATTCATTCAGGCATGCTGAGACGTGACAGGGACACTTACTTTTCTCTTTAGCAGTGTCAGGAGAGCAGAGTGGGATTAAGAGGGTATTTTTGAGGGTTTAATCTGATGTTTGAAATAAAGAAATGGAAATATTGAGCAGTGCACCTAAAGACGTCCCTCCATATTTCACTGTGATGCTCTGTTACTTTCAGATCTTCTGGTGTGTGCGTGAATTTATGACAAGAAACAAAACTCATCTTAAGTTTCCGCTTACATAAGAAACCGAAAAAAGGAAGTAGAAGTGAGAAGAAAGAAGAGGAAGACGGATGAAGAAGAGAGAGGTCATTGTAGTGCGAGATGGAGGATCACAGAGGAGCTTCTTGTTCTCAAAGGCCACCATCACTGCGCCAACAGGAAGGATGAGCAAGAGAGCGTTTCAACCCCGAATCCATGTGCTTGATGAAATATTCACCTACTGAAATACTTTACCTTTTAAATGTTAAAGTTTCCTAAGAACCACTTGAACCTCCAACTCCAGGTGGAGTTTTGAGAGGTTTCAATGATTTATGGTTGTGTTGTCTTGAAAAGGTGACTTCACCACTGATCCCACTAAAACCAGGTCAAAAGTTTAAAGAGGATACATTAGTCAGACAGTGTGCACATATATGCAGCAGCTCTCCCAAGTGCAAAAAAGTATTACCCCCAATTTCCACCGCATCTGGGACGGCTACGAAAAGGCCGTATCCACCAATCGTAGCTGATCGTAACCATTCAAGTTAATGTGTCAATTTCCGGCAGATGAATTCAGCACAGATCAACCCATGCAGGAAAGAAGGTCGGGCACTGACACAAAATAAAACATCCGGCTTCTTTTCAAAATAAAATACTACATGTTTCAGGCAGATCGTATATCACACCATGCAAACTGGCGGGGACGAACAAGTGAAAGGTTTTCAGACGGCATTTCACCCCGATGACACCATGGATGAGGAGACGCTGATTTTAGAAGTCTAGCAGTGGATTTCCTCCTCTGGAAGGACACAATATACAGCTTGTGTGGTTATGTGGCTGTCTTTATAGAGACAACTCGTTATCACACGATTGCACATGA